CCGCCCCTCGTCCTCCCCCCTCTCTGCGTGGACGCTGGCCAGCGCGGAGTTGGATTGAAGGCATGCATGGAAACAGGCTCCCGATTCCAAGGTGGATACATGGCACAAGCCTACTCGAGGATCAGCTGAGGCAGGCTGAGGATAAAAACACAAAACATCCAGAAATTTCTTTATAGAAATTTGAGCCACAAAAACTCAAAGAATTTCCTCAAATTAGACAGAAACATAAAAAGTGTTCAAAGGCCGTCAGCGGACCAAATAGTACAATGTGAGCTCTAGGTAAAACGGTAAAGCAGCAGCGCTGGTTAGGCAACCAAACGAACGCTCCTGCCAAGCGGGACAGCCTACGTAACCGGGCGCTACTCCAGGACATTCAAGTGCAGCTATCGCTGGGCTCGCTGGGATGCGAGAGAAAAGAGGGGGTTACAGGAGAGGGGGTGAGGGAACATCCTGAAATCACGTTTATGGTCTCGTGTCCTTCCTTTTTGTGGACTCCCCTTCACCCCCACCATCGAGACAGAAGTAGGGCATCGAACGAGTCAAAAGCACTACTCTGAATACCGTTCTGTCGGTCTCACTTAAATTTAGTGGCATTGAAAGCGTGTGAGAACTAAATAAGCATATATGAATTTGGTTTTATATTTTTAAAATAGTGTTGCTCATTTTATTTTGTCGAAAGATTAATACGTGAAATGGTTAACTTGACTCGGACAGCAGAGGCCTTGGGCGTGTGTGTGTGTGTGTGTTTTTAGTCGAAACGTATTTCGCAGGACGTGAAAAAGCATCCACAGAGCGAAGTGGAAATCATTTGGAGGTAGGAATGATATCTTTCATAAATGTTCGCTCATTTGTGTTGACATTTTCCCAAACTAGCGTTGCCGCGAGATGTTGACTGTGAGGTGGGCTTTGTTGTGATACGAAGGAAGAAAGCGTCTGCTCGTCTGCTGTGGCTGCAGCCCCCATGAGTCCGTGTGGTGATTCATCCTAAACAGCTGTTTTGCTAGTCTGTAAACAAAAGTGGGTATTGTCACACGCCTAGAAATTTCGTGTCCTTTATCGATCAAAATTTGCCATGAAAAGTTTTCCGTGATAAGTTCGAAATCTCCTTCTACCACGTCACTTTGAGAATTGATTTCCCACCATGCTATTGTACACTGTTAGCCTTGAAGGCTGGGCTGAATATACGCACCTGGAGGGCGATCGGAGAGCTCCCTGAGAACGCTCCACTTCCGTCCTCCCACTACCCCCCTCACCCTATTTCAGACGATTTAGAAGGCGTTTCCGGTTGTTTTCAGGGAGCTCTCCGATCGCCCTCCTGGAGATGGAGACAAAGGAAGCAGGACCTCCCAGTGGTTTGACATAGTGCTATGGGGTGTCTGTTTGAAGGACGTTGATTTGATGTACCTTTGAGTAAGTGCGGACATTCGTGGTACTTTTGTGTTGCCGTTTTTGCTGCGACGCGAACGTGAAGTTTGTGGGTAGCAGTATAGTATATACTGACCCAGCAGACCGTTGTGAAGATGTACGGTTAGGCCTATTGCACCACTTAGCAACCTTGTAGACAAGTGTATTTTCGTTCTTCCAATGTGATATAGAGCAGATTTAGTCTATGAAACAATAGTCCCTCAACTTTTCTGTATATTCAGAAATACACCATGGTAAAAATATTGAAGTTTGAAGCACCCCACTTTGGGGTGGTAATCTAATATGCTATCTTCTCACAAATGCAACATTTGTTGACTCTTAGAAATTTTGGTTAAGTTACTAAAAATAGTTATTTGTTTTCCTTGTTTCAGTTTTTCATATGAGCTTAAATTAAAGAGTTCTGTCAGACGCTTTCTACACAAAATTCAGAAGCATATCTACCTTCCTGAACTGTGGTTTGATTAGAAGTAAATCAGAATTTACAAAGATATTTTCCAAGTGAGTTTGAATTTTTCTTCTATTTGGATTCCTGCGTTTCTCCAGCTGTCTTTTAACTTATGGTCATTGTTACTGAACAGAGCATCACATGGAGTCTCAGGAGGTTGAAAGTGGCCTCCATGAGACATGGATTTCTAAAAGAGGTTCCACTAATTCAGTTGTGAGTGCCACTTCAGGCCCATCTCTTTTGAACATGTCTGAAGCCAGTGGTAGCAGCTCCTCACAAGGCAGACAAGGCCCTCTGCCCACTAAAAGAACATTATCTGAGTCGTCAAGTGTCAGGCAAATGGGACCTTTGCCAGTGAAACGTCAGTACCAAGCCTCCAACATACAAGGTGCTGATGATGCTCAAATAAAGCAGCTGGAAAACCTTGAGAGGAAAGAGGCAGCTCTTTTCAATCAGTTATTGCTTCAGCTGCAATTGCTTCATAAAAGGTAAAACAAAGGTGTTTTCATAACTTTCCTTTTTCAAAATATCTTTTCCACGTGACTTAACTTAATAGATGAATACGTTTTCTAGGTGCAATGAAGAGCGTCATCAAATTGTTGAAGAACAGCGCAGGCTGGCTGAACGTTTGGAACAAATTGACACAAATGAAAAAGCTGAAGAGCTAGCTGTGAGAGAAAAGAATGGTCAAATGCTTGAAAGAGTTCGTGAAGAATTACATCAACTGAGACAGAAAATGTCGATGGATGGGTAACACTTTCATTAGTCCTATTGTTTTACATATGTTTACTCAATTGTCATTTGACAACTGTCTAAAGCACTTTTCTGCAACAGGTCATCATCAAATGCCTCTATCATGAGCAGTGTCTTATCTAACTCAGTGCCATCGACATCAGGTGGACAGTCAGATCTAAGCAACGTATCGGTTAGTAATCTTTGTTAGTGTGTATTCTCTATCATCCTAAGAGACAGAATAACTTGTATTTTTCCTTCAGGACATCCGGCGGCGCCTTGGCAGTTTGGATCGGCAACGTCAGACTCTTCTGGATCAGCTGTACGCTGCTATACGTGAGTTTTCAGAGACATATATAGACTTTATATAGTTCTCAAAGTTTCCAGATCATTTTCATGAAATTCTTTAAATTTGTTTAACAGGTTCCTTAAGCCAAGAGGGTGGCCGCTTGGTGGATGTGCAACTACACAACTGCGCTCCTGGCAGGTTAGCGCTTGTCTTCAATGTGTAGTTCAGTTCCTCCATAAAGTTTTGGATTGGTGACCATAGACAGAAGATATTGCTTGAGTTGTATGACTAACTGGATGAAAGAGTACCAAGTGCCCAGGAATGGTATTTTTTTTCCATTCCTTTTCTAGAATTGATTTTAATTCCTCTTTAAATTGAAACTTTCAAGCACTGAATCTTTTCATTTGACTGTTTTAAACATTTTGATTTACAATGAAGTACCAAACACTGAACCCTTTCAGTGTACTTTAATTCCTTAAGTCCCAGTTTAAGTCAGCCACGTAAGACTGGAGAAAAATATTTGGCTGGGGGACTTTTTACTACATAACTTATTTTACTGATATTTCTTGTTTTACACAGGCAGATCTCGAGGTTGGGGCGTATTTCATTAAGACTGAATTATCTGTGATAACCTTCAGCTGTTGAGGGAAAGTACTGAATCAAAATCAGTGTTAGTATGAATTGTGTGCAATTCTGAACTGAATCTAGTCATTATATAATTCAAATGGACAGAGTCAAACTAGGGATAATATTTTCTTGTGGCACATGTTCTCTGTGTTTTTAGTGCCAGACATATTAGTTTGTCTTGAATTTTTGGATGTCCATTGCATGAAGTAAGTGGTCTTGTTGTTAATATCGGAATTGTATTTTCAAATTTTCTACATAGCTTTCCTGTAACTTAAAGAATAGAAAACCAAAGATTTCATTTCATGTGTTTTTTTTTATCCTCTCTTAATTTTGAAATCGAAAGTGGGAGAGACAAGCTGTTAGCATTTGTTCAACCTTTAAATATGTAGTCAGTTTGGTATTGGTTGCTTGTGAGCTAAAATCAGCTGGGTGAGAGAATTGAAAGCAAATAATAGCTTTGCAATTTCTTTCCAATTCCTTCTAAATTTCTGCACCGATATTAGATGTTAATTGTGCATGTTATGTCCAGCACTCTTTGACTATGTAGGAAGTCATAGCCAAACTGGGCCTGTCTTGAAGGAAGTAAAATGGAATTGAAATGGTCACCAGCTAGAAAAATTGAGGGCTTATGAAACCAGATTGGTGATTTGTAAATTATCTAAAAACAAAATCCTTCTGATTGTTGTCTTTACCTGCATTGCCACTTTACCCTGCCCAAACTTTTTTAATTTGATGAAATATTGTTTTGTGTCGTGTTTGTGTGCTTTGTATCATGGGGACTGTGTAAAAAATTCAACATGTCTCATGGGATTTACTCATGAAACAGCTTCATAGTAATGTATGGTCCAACTTAGTCATCATACCTATTTGTATTTTCCTGTTACATTATTACATTTGGAGTCCTTTGTCCCTAGATCATGGAAGGTTGTGTATAATTTAAAGAAACTCAGACCTAACAATATTTTTGGCTAGGCAGAGGTTTTGACCCACCGTAAATTAGTTTTGCATAATTTCCTATATCTTAAAAGCATAGTTGGCCATTTTCTAAAAAATAAAAAAATAAATTCTTATTTCATTTTGATAATCCAGCCCCAACAATCTATTTTAATAGTTGGTATATAACTCTAACATCTGGTTTTCATTTATCAACTCTCTTCTAAAATTCATTTCTGACCCATTTTTCAGTGATACTGGGTCCATGTAATTTCTATCTCTCTTTTGACGTAATTGTGAAGAATGTAAATATAATTTGTTTTGTAAAATCTGGCAGTCCCTGTAAACAGGGTTTTCTCTTCAAAACTCTAAAATATTTGTGTTATATATCTCAGTACCTCTGAGTACAGTTTTACTGCCAGTTTATTTGTGAATTGTATTCTTATTGTACATGTTTTTCCTTAACTTCTGTTTCTTTGTCTGAGAGGCCATGCCCCACCAGGTAGTGAATGTAGGCCATGTGGATAGAGCTGCGTGTATTTCGCTCTGTGCTTTGTAGCCTTATCAGCCAACATGAAGCTCTTGATATCAGGATCTTTCAGGCTTTCTACATAGGGCTCAGGGCTCAACACTTCCCCTAAGGATAGAATGGGAGGAGGTAAACGCGAAATATACGGGGCCCTACCAACAAGGGTGCGCAATTTGTGCATTTAGCTGGAGTGTAGAGTTGCCATCTTTGAACACACGTTCCCTCTGCAGATAAACCAAACTATCAACTAGTCATATTGTCAGCTGCGACGAATTTTTTTTTTATACGTGTGGGAAAAGCTTTAGGCCGAATAACATCTGCGTGTATTACACTCTTGAAAACCACTAGGCAACTCTGTCAATCCAATTGCTTAATGATGCACACTACCTGGCCTGATAAAAATGTGCTTAATAAGTTTGTTAATGAAAATATTATGGCACTGATAAAAAGCACATATCCTCAATTGAGGTGGCAACCCTACAGAGTTATGTCCGATAAGTTGATGGTTATTTGTTTTTGGTTACTTACCTGTGTTCGAGGAGCAGCTGGAGGCCTTCGGTTAACAAGCCAAGATCAACTATTCCGACAGCGTGAAGTTCCGTTTGGGCATCGACGTGTCCGCTAAGGGTCGCGGCGGCATTTAATTCGGCAAGGCAGTCTAAATGACTGTTTCGTTCCCGAGCACATCAGTTTCTACCGTGAGAAGGTTTTACAAAACTGCCCTTTATATGTGTATAATCGCGTAGTCCTATTACCTTTGCTTATTAGACTAATACAGACGGACTAGATCCTGCAGTTAGGTGCAGAGCGGACACGTAGTCCTGATAACGTGACACACCAAAATTTTCATATAGAGGAGGGGACATATAATCTTACTAAGATCCTGAATATGTACATGTGGAACATTGGGTAGACTGGCATGTCTTAAACCACGTTCCCCAACTGCAGTGTTCCAAGATGGGAAAACAGATTTGGGGCCCATCCTGCGATCAACATGGTCATTCTTTAAACTAAGCCTGAGGAAGGGAACATTAAAAAATAACCAGTGAAGGATCATAATTAAGTTAATCCCAAATGTTAATCATGTAAAGAGGATCAGTTATGTGTTTTCTTTTAGGATGCATGGGCGGACCTGTTGACTGTTTATTTAGATTAACAGGAATGTTGATGTGTCTTCAAATGTGAAAATTTAAAAAACAAAAAAAACAAACAATTACATTTTGTGTACATGAAAAACTATGGTTGTCCATCATGCATCATAAGAGGGAACTATGGTCTGTAAAACTTTGTTTTTGTTGAATTTTTCTGATTTAGTTTTTTTGATTTGCAGGGAGGTGGCAGGCAGCTCTACTCTATCTGAGCGTGGCCTGCCTACGTCCCAACAATCTGAGATTGCAGAATCTAATGAGCAAGCTCAATCTAGTGGTGAAGAAGACTCAGAAATCACCTCTTCAAGTGATGTTCTAACTCCTCAGAATGTGGAAATTGTAACAGAACATGCTTCAGGAAACCAATCATGTTCAAGAAACCAGACAGCAGAACCAAATGAGGAAGTGGAACCCGAAGCAGCAGCTGAAGAGGAAGGAGAAACACCCGCCAACTGCACGGAGGAGTCGATTGAAAAGGATGCAGCAGCTGAAGAGGAAATCAAGAAGAAAGAAGAAAGAGAGAAGGATCTTGACCTTGCCCTATCAAAGCTGAAGAACATTGGATCTCTTGTCGAAGAAGAGCTACAATGCAGCATCTGCAACGAGCTTCTTGTTGCAGTAAGTGACCTTCTGTATTTTTTCGAATACTGTGGGATGATTCTTTAATATCTGGTATGATTCTACTGTTGTATGTTTATATTTACAGGCTGTCACAATAAACTGTGCCCACAGTTTCTGCAAACACTGTCTTGGAGAATGGAAGAAACAACGAGCAGAATGTCCAATGTGTAGGATGCCCATTACTGCAGAGCATCGCTCAGTCACCTTGGACTCACTCATAAGTACAATGGTGGGCCAGCTTAGCCTGGAACTTCAACAGAGGCACAAAGAAGTCGTAGAGGAACGCGCAGGTGTGTGCTGAAAAACACCACAGTAATTCTAGTAAGTTAAAGATGTTAATGTTTGAATTCGACTAAAATGGCTTCAATATATTTTTTTAGCTCTAGAAGCTGCAGCTGCTGTTGCTGCGAATGCTGCCTCATCCTCAGGTGGATCTTCCAGCAGTCGGGGTGACAATGGATCTTCGAGTGGGGGTCCCAGCCGGACGCGCAGCCACCACCACAACTACAACAACAATAACAACAACAACCATTGGCAGCCCCTGCCGCCCCCGCATTACCACCACCACCATCACCATCACAACAACTTCCACGTGCCCCACTACCCTCCCCACGCCCACAGCCACGCTCCCCACACTCACAATCATGCTCACGCCCACGCCCACTCCAACCCCCACCCTCCCCACGCCCACGTTCACGCCCACGCCCACGTGCACCCCCTGGCCTTGGCGCCCCCTGTCGGCCACGCCGGTCACGCCCCCCAGGGCAGGCACAACACCCCGCCCCCTCCTCCCCCAAGGGCACCCCTCGCGCTGGCCCTGCCCACCCCCAGCCTGCACAGCCTCCAGAACTCCCAGCAGGGCAGCTCCCAGGGCCTGCAGGGCTCGCAGGGAGGCGCTCTTCAGGGGCTGCAGAACCTGCAGAGCATCCCGGGAAGCTCACAGGGCGCACAGACCCCACAGGGACAGCCGCACGACGGGCGTGCCCCGTCGAGGCGCCGACACGGGGCTAGAGGCCCCTCAGGCCCCGCAGGCCCCGCAGGTCCGAGTGCCTCAGGGGTCGGGCTGGGGTTGGTGTCCTCCGCCAGCTCGTCCGGTAGTTCTGCAGAGGAGCCGAGGTACATAAAGTTACTTATTATAAGAATTTATCTATTTTTTTCTCCTTTATTTGAGCTGTTCTCATCAGAGATTTTCTAAATTTCAGTGACTCTACGAGCAGTTACTCAAGCAGTGGTGGCTTCTCGTCCAGTTCAGAGCGCACCTGGTTTGAATCGGACTATGGTGAATATGAAGATGAAGAAACTGAAGGAGAACCTCCAATAGTGCCTGGTATTCCTGGTCGCTATTATGGAGGATATGGTGTGTGTTTTTACTGCAATCAGCGAGGGCATTGGTCTAATGGATGTCCTGTTCGTTTTGGATTCTAATTTTTGTGATTCTTGTGAAAAATTGTCAGCTTTACTGCTTGCATCACATTCTCAGAGGGTTTTATGCATTTTGTGCTCTCATAACAATGTAGAGATTTAAGGGGTTCTATGTTGTACAGGGCCATTGGAACTTTTTCTTGTCATATTTAAGTTATATAAGTCTTTTTTAGTTGATATGTAGTGTTAAAGGTGCAGTTGTGGTTGCATGACTTAATATATAATTGAAATGTAATATTAGTTTCTCTAATCCCATGTTTTGCTGTTTCTGAGCAATTTGAATTTTTATTCCAGTTATTGTATCATGGTTATCTCACTAATTGTTTGATATTTTTTCATCTACTTCCTATTTGTTGCAATCAATGTATGTATTGAGCTACTTCATAGCTTCAATGTCAGTGATATTCATGTGGCTTTTCTCATGTTTTACATTTATAATAAGGTTTCATAATGTTTGAACAGTTCTAACTGGATGGTGTAAATCAAACAATGACATTATGATGCTGATGTGATTTTTGGAGCTGATGGTTTTTGATGTGCTAATTTGACTCAAGTTGTTTTGTATTGTATTTTATTCACCTGTTTTTGTATGTTCGTTAGAATTTATAGAGAGATTAATTGCTGCGTTGCTTAGTATTTATGCATTGGAGTTTTTTGTCCTATTCATCAATTAATCTGAAATGGACCAGTTTGCTGTTTTAACTTCTTCAAATTAATACATCACTCACAAGTGGTTCAAACTCAATTCTGTGCTCTTTTAAACAGTTGCAGAAATACTGTTTACTGTTATTTATGGTTTTATTCTAACCATCCCAATGTTTAAAAAAAAACAAACAAACTAAACTAAACTCCTCCATAATCTAAATTGAAGACTGACTCCACTGGAATTAATTGTTTTTATTTAATGTTGGGTTTTTACAACATTGATGGAATTGTTACGGCCCATTTTCCAGCATTAATTCATTGTTGGGATTTTTGTTTCCAATCAAATCTGCAAACAAATAAATTGCCATGAGCCAATTAATTTAAAATACTTTTCAAATATGTCTTGTAACTTCCTGTTAAGTATATTGAGCACTTTGGTAGTGAGAAAATGGCACAAGAATATGAATCAGCCCCGTAACCAAAGATTGTAAAGAAGTCACCCCCAATAGAGAAAGAGGAACATTTAAGATGTTGCTTGTTCTACTTGGGTCAGACTATTTTCAAAAAAATATCAAAGCCTGTGATGACCTTTCTCTTTTTCTTAAAAGATTGTAAAGAAAGCTAATTCATTATTTAGATGCAAAATCAGTCTGTCTTGTACAAAAGCTCTTTTAAGTTAAGACAAAAATTTACTTGTTTTTCTGATTACTGTCTCACCATGTTGATGTGTGTCAATCTGCATGTTTACTCATTAATCCTGACATGGAGTTGAAATTGGGTATATTAAGTGCACCTTATATTTTTGTTTTTGCATGATGGGCTCTTTGAATCTCAGATCTCTTACTAAATTCTTGAAATGTGATCTGCTTGTAGTCATTTTAGATGAATAATTATATTTTCTAGCCATATTTTGTGTATGTCATTAAAGTTGTATTTTTCAATCACAAGTAACTACATTTAGCTTACCAGATCCCTACTAATGTAAGAGTTTAAGAATGTCAAACTTTGTTGTCTCCAAAGCAATATGTGTGTAGTCTGTGCCTGCCTCTGAGCTTTCATGTAGAATCTAATTTTTTAAACATATGGCCATTTACTGCTGTTATTTTTCAAATGAGTTACCTTGGATTTTCTTATTGCCTTCAACCAAATCCAAATAGTTAAAAATACCCCAGTGTTTCACCAAAGTTGGTTTGTTCTAAAAATATTAGCCTGTTAGAAGCTAAATTTAGCGATGGAATGAATGTTGATTACCTATCTTTTAGTGTTAGTATCTGGAACAACCTACCCTTTCGGTACGTGCTATATCATCATAATACTCCTTATTATTTGCTTTGACTGCGTCTATTTTGTTTATTTCATTCAAAACCTTCTATTGTCTTTAAAATAATGTGATAAGTTTTCTATTTTGGTGACAGCTTTCTTAATAACAAAGTAACCACTTTCAATGTAAACATTTCCTTCTTACATAATAGGATGAAATAACATTATGCGGCTCATAGAAATAGTCTTCTGTTCTTCATTTATTCCTTATTAGCATTGGGTTATGTTGCATTTTAGTAGGCTAGCATCATTTTGGTTTGTCAAAAGTAGTTTCACTGATGTTTGTTATTGAAGATCAAAAATGTTATTCCCATTTCAATGTTCCTCTCATAACTTCTTTTCTGAGCTTAGGTGCTAAACTTGATTTGTAAAGAGTGAAATTAATACTCCGTTTTTAATGTCTCTTCAATATTTGCCATAATATTTCCTTGCTACAAAAACCTTATTGACATTCTTGTTGTGCATGGGAGATCTATCATCAAATACTGTGAATTGTCATTTACCTTTGGTCAGATAAACAGTCCTTTCTCTTTTTAGTTATGTTGCTGTGGTGCCTGTATCAGCATGAGTGATTCTTTCTTATTCCATTTTTCATGAGGTATCATGGTTTGCTTTCATGACATAACACTTAAAATGTATCAGTCAATTGGGGTCCAAGTGTCCTGTACAAAGTTATTAAGTACCATTTTACTTTAACATTCAGCATGGCAAAAGTATTCGACATGATGCTCACAAGTTTATATGGTTTGTGGATATGTTGGGTTTCAGTTGATTGTTTGACATCTCAGGGATTTTAGAATCCTGCTCGTCTTCTATATAAGAAGTTGTCCTAAGATTTAGTGATATGATGTTGATGCCAATTATTGAAGCACATTGTGGAATTTCCATTTAAGGTGTACTGTTAGACAATAATTATTTTGCTTCAATCAATAATTAATTTTTTTGCTAATGTCTAGGATTGTATATCAATAGGTGCTTCCTCAATGTGTATTAATTACTTATGAAAAACACTACATGAAGTGTGAAGCCTAATGAACTGGGAAAACAAAAACCTTCTACTGTTTTGGATCAGTATTTTAGCTTGATGCAACAGTCGAACAATTCTTAAAACTGCATGCTTTTCGCATAGTGTTTAATCATTGTATATTAGTTGTATTTCTGTGAGGTATGTTTGTGGTTCAAGTTTGAAACTTAAATGTGTGATATAGTGTAACAGGTCAAAATATATCATTTTTCCTTCGTCAATTAGAATTCTGTGTGTTGTCCATCCTCCACCAATCCTTATGCATGTGAGTGGAGATGAGGACCAATGGTCCTTCCCTCCAGCACCATTCCACTCTTCCTGCACACCAGACGAAAACTATGCGCCAAAACTGCGAAAGTACTTCTACTTTCAATTAATGCATTACTACTATCCTACATAATGAGCGTCAGTGACATTGAGGTGTTAATTATTTCCGAACAATGCACGAACGGAAATATACAAAATGAATGAAAAACCCCGTCGAATGTTGCAGTTATAGTGCTGACCGCATGTGGGACTTTCGGAGCGCCTACGAGGAGGGAGGCAAACCCATCTCCTCTCCCTGCACTCGGCACTGCACAAGGGATCGTCCACAAACAACGTGCATTTCTCTCCTCAGATTTGTTCGGTAAATTATGGGAGCTTGGCGCGCCTGTGAGGCTCAGGGTAGGCCATCCCGCAGTACAGGTATGCTCAGCAGGCAAGATGTTGCCTACCTACCAGGCGCTATGAGAGCTTGGAAGGGCTGAACTTTGAAAGGTTCGTAACAGTGAAGACTCAACCGCTAAGAAACTTTTT